TTGGTGCAGCCCACGGTGATTATTTTGTGTAGCCGAACACCTCTGAAAATCTCTTTGCAGTTGCTCCGCCTCTTTGCGTGTACATGTTTGGAAGCAGCCGGGGTGGCAAAGATTCCCTTAATGCCTCCAAAACAGATCAAGTTAACATACCAGGCTTAGCCCAGGCCATCTTGGCCTGCTTTTGCAGGACTTATCACACAGATCTCTCTGCTCTCTTGGGTAGTACCATTTGGAAGCTGGTGAACCAGGACTTCTTAGGAGGTCACTGACTCTTTTTGGAGGGTTATTATAAAAAGCTGGCATTGACTTACAAGCTTTTTGGAAAGTTGTTATTTTAGTAACTCCTTACTCTTTTAAGAGGAGCTTTATGAAAGCTTATATATATTCCTATCCCCCCAAATAAGAAAGATAAATATATCTTTATGAAGCTCCTCCCACAAATACAATGAATATTACTCCTGGGACTAAATAGACTCAATTTCCTGGCCTCTCATTTCAAAGCTATGTGTTTGCTTTAATGCATCTTTTGTTTTTTACCCAGTATTTTGCAATTTTTGGCCTCTTAACTTTTTCATATGCAAAAAAATAAATGAAAGCAAGGTATGTGACGGTGTAGGAGAGTCTACATTTTACCCTTGTTAGACTTTCATGTGCACATAATAAATACAGTGATATTTACAGTAGATTTATATCTTGGGGACAGGGAAAGGATAGTTTCCTGTTTTCTTCACGTTCAGTGAAGAAACTAAAAATCATTAAGTTCAAAATGAAGTCAAATACACCTTGAAAAATCCCTTAAGTAACCCAGAAAGTGTGGCATGCATGGTGAGTATGTATCGTCTGTGTAGTTTGTGGTCCATTGAGGCAGGTTTAAGTATGACAAGGGGTTTAGGAAGGTATTTGCGTCGTCAGACCACCTAGCTTCTATCGGAGTCCCTAGTGTACAGAGGGGACGGGAAAGTTCCAGCGTGACCCTGCTTGTCTGCAGGCTTTATGTCACTATGTTTTTAACGCAGACCTTCCTAATCTTAATACTTGATTTGGGGAGGACTGGATGAGGTCATACACGTGGCAGCCTCCAACACAGCGCCCTGCCTGGGCACAGCGGGTGCCCAGTGATTCTTCGATGGGCTTGACCTACCTTGATCTGTTCCCCTGTCACACTGTGTTTGAAAAGGTTTCTGTGAAAACCCGGCCACCTGCGTCTTGTCGTCCCAAACTGGCACTCCCGGTTGCCCCCCCTTCTGAGCAGCCTTTCCTCTCTCAACCCCTCGTTATCTGACATCAGATAAATTTGCATGAATTAAACATGAATATTCAAGTTACCACAAGATGGCGTCAGATCATTTCAAGTAATGCGAAGTTGGAGGAGCCTTGGCATAATCTTTAATTTTAAAAAAGCTAAAATATATGCCTTTCATGTCGTGGTATTTAGCTATTGTAGATGAACGTTTAAGTTCCTTTCCCATTCTGGGATGGAAACTTGAGGCTCAAGTCTATTTACTCCAAAGGTAGTTGCATCGGAAAGTGACTTGAATCTTGCAAATGATTTTGCCAGAGTAAATAGTTCAGGATCTCTTTTGTTTGGCTAATAAAACTTCCATTTTACTTTTGTTATTTACAAACATTGTCTAATGGGTGACCCTTAAGTATTTTACAATGTCCCCTTTCCACAATTTCCTCTCTCTCTCTTATCTCTTAGTTTGATTTATTTCCTCCTAATATATTTATTTGCTTCTTGTTTGTTTCCTTAACTAACATGTAAAGTCTCTAAGAGGCTATAATTTTGTTTCATTGCTGTATCCTCAGTGCCTAGAACAGGGCCTGGCATGGTAGGTACTCAAAAAACTGTTAAATGAAGAATAAATAGAGTTTCCAGTATTATTTAAATTGACACCCTAAATTATGTAAAAGTACAAAGTTTCTGAATTTATAATCTTTAGGAATTTCGCTGATAACAGTGAAGTAATCAGAAGTAACTACTATCCTTCTCTGGTGTTTATATTTCCAAGCTCTTCCATAATTTAATTCAGTTATCTTCCTTTCACTTACAGTCTATTTACAATATTTAGTTGGAATGTGTTGATGAATATAAAATGAGCAAACTTGGACTGGAGCAAAGGAAATGCTCTTATATACTCCTTTTACTTTAGTGTAAAAGTTCTAATTCATGAACGCGTGCACACACACACACACACACACACAGGCACACACACACTTCAGGGGTCTGAATGAGTCTCAGGTATCTCCCTCACTTCAAGGGTGCTGTGCACGTGAGCCTCTTGCTGAGAAACAGAATAGCTAAACCCGACTCTCAGTAATGGACATTATCTTCCAGAAATACTGAAGGCTAAACTTGAAGAAAGCAGTTATTGTAATTTTGAGCATTTTTTTCTGGAGCAAAAATGAATGAATGAAAAATAAATAGTTAAAAAGCATGTTTGTGGTTAGTTATCAAGATTGCAGCTTCCAGGATGGAAGTGTGAACAAGAATTTATGGCATGGGCATGATGAGGCGTTAGCGCTGTTGAGGGCAGAGCCCACTGCCCCCCTCGCTGGTGGGTCCTTGAATGAAGTCAGGTTTATTTTCCAAACTGATCCCTGAGGTCAGTCAGGTTTATCTTTTGGTTCATTGCTTCAGCAATTATTTATTAAGGGCCTACTATGTGCCAGGCACTGTGCTAGGTGGTAGAAACACATGAGTGACTGAAATAGACAATATTCCTGCTCTCATGGAGCCTGTGTCCTAATCTGGGATCTTTTGATGGGGCCAGAGATATCTTTAAGAATGTGAAAGTAATGGTCCCTTTTCCCTGAAAATCAATCAATTAGTCAATCAGTCAACCTCTTACACACACACACACACACACACACACGCAGCTGCTGCAGGGTGGGGCAGACCCATACCCACCGAGTTTTATGTCACATTTCCTTGGTTCAGAAGACTTGAAGTCCACCGAGCGGAGGCCCTCTGTCCCTTGCCCCACAGCCTGCTCTCACCTCCCCTTCAGCAGCTTGCGATGTCTTGGATCAGACTTGCCTGTTGTTTTCTGTTCAGATGTGATCCCTGGATGAAGCAGTAAATCTCTGGGACCAGAGCTCAAGGGGCGCTCAGCAGGCTCTGGTCAGCAGCTGCCCAGTCCTGTGGCTTTGAGGAAGTCGGTTCCACTCCCCAGGGTCTCCTTGCATCTGAGCAATGGAAAGGGTTGGATTTCAGGAACTGATGTGATTGGAGACAGGTTGGGTGGGCAGGCTTTGGAGGCAGGAAAAATTATCTGCAGATAAATTATAGTCTTGGCACTCATTAACTAGCAAATTTGTTTATTTGAGCCTTATTTCTCACACAGGGAAGGGAAAAAACAGCATTTACCTCATGGAATAGGTTTGGGATTTAAATTGAAATAATGTATGTTAAACTGTCTAAGACAAAAAATGATAGCTATTATCCGTGTTGTTGTATCCAAATTGTCTTTTGGGGAAATAAATCAATAAACAAACTGTTGAGCGCCTGGCATAGGCTGCATTCCTGTGATGCTAACCTAGCCACGAGGCAGTGGCATAGGACAGTAGGGAGGGCCTTCACTCTGTCGTAGGCCTGGCTCAGTTTCCTGGCTGTGCCACTAACTAGCTGGGTGACCCTAAGCTCTCTGGTCTTTATTCGGTTTCCATTTCTGAAAGATGGTAATGATAACTTCGGACCCAGACACATTAGACAGGCTCTTAGGATATTTAAACAAGATCATGCAAGTAAAACATTTAGCACAGTGCCTGGCACAAAGAACAATCTTTTTTTAAATTAAGGTATCATTGATATACAATCTTATGAAGGTTTCACATGAGCAACACGATTGTTACTACATTCACCCCCATTATCAAGTCCCCCCCCAACCCCATTGCAGTCACTGTCCATCAGCATAATAAAATGCTATAGAGTCACTACTTGTCTTCTCTGTGCTGTACTGCCTTCCCTGGGCTCCCCCTACATTATGTGTGCTAATCATAATACCCCTCAATCCCCTTCTCCCTCCCTCCCCACCCCCTTCCCTTTGGTAACCACTGGTCTGGTCCCTTCTTGGAGTCTGTGATTCTGCTGCTGTTTTGTTCCTTCAGTTTTGCTTTGTTGTTATAATTCACAAATGAGGGAAATCATTTGGTGCTTGTCTTTCTCTGCCTGGCTTATTTCACTGAGCATGATACCCTCTAGCTCCATCCATGTTGTTGCAAATGGTAGGATTTGTTTTCTTCTTACAGCTGAATAGTATTTCATTGTGTATATGTACCACATCTTCTTTATCCATTCATCTACTGATGGACACTTAGGTTGCTTCCATTTCTTGGCTATTGTAAATAGTGCTGCGATAGACATAGGGGTGCCTATGTCTTTTTGAATCAGGGATCTTGTTTTCTTTGGGTAGATTCCTAGGAGTGGAATTATTGGGTCAAATGGCATTTCTATTTTTAGCTTTTTGAGGAACCTCCATATTGCTTTCCACAATGGTTGAACTAATTTACATTCCGACCAGCAGTGTGGGAGGGTTCCCCTTTCTCCGCATCTTCGCCAGCATTTGTCATTCCTTGCCTTTTTTGTTGGCCGTCCTAACTGGTGTGAGATGACATCTCACTGTGGTTTTTATTTGCACTTCCCTCATAGTTAGTGATGTGGAGCATCTTTTCATGTGCCTGTTGGCCACCTGAATTTCTTCATAAGAACACTCTTGATGTAAGTCCGGTTCAGTATTAACAGTATGACTTACTGATCAGCTTAACCTAACCCCCCTCTCCACGCAGGGCTAGAGCGGGTCTAAAGGTTTCCCCTGGATTTCACACATGTCCGGTCGTTCTGTCTCTCTAGGCTGAAGCAGTAAAAGTAAGACACTTGATCGAAAACTGGCCTTAGAGGCTACTTGGGAAATACTGTTGCTGCAAATAACTGGCTACTATGAAATAACTCACTTTGCTAAAAGATGAGTGGTAATTCTTCTCTATGTGTTTTCATTTAGTATCCCAACCCCATGGATAAAAATGTCATCTCTGTAAAAACTGTGGAGGAAAAAAGGGGTAAGTTCTCAGAATACACCTCACTTCAGTGATGGTCATTAAGTGATGCTGACTTTTGTGAAGATGTGTGCGTTTGTGTGGGTGTGGCCTATTATGTCTTAAACAGGTATATTAACAGATATATTTCTCAATTTGAGGTGACTGAGAAGAGAGTACTCAGCATTTATAATAGTAAAAGTCTTGCCTAATATGCTCTTGGCATTTTCTCAGTTACTAATTGATGGCAATTGTAATAGCTAACATTTTTGAGCACTTTATATGTCCCAGGCACTCTAAGTTTTATTAACTCACTTAATTCAAAGAATAATGTAGGTATTATTACTCCTATTTAATGAATGAAGAAAACAAGATAGAGAGAGGTAAGTTACTTTCCCAGAGTCCCTGGCTATATTCCTATAATATCCTTACTTCATTTTATAGATGGCAAAATAGATGTGATTAATAGCATGTACTATATGTGATATGACCATAAAGTGATTAGATTGTGGGATCATAACTGTACTTACCAGTATGGTTCGGTACTGACTAGAGCAGAGGTTAGGTTGACAAACTATGCTTGCGCTGTCTGTTGTTGTAAATAAAGTTTTATTGGTAGACGGTCATGCCCATTTGTTTATGTATTATATATGGTTGCTTCCTTACAATAACAGCAGGGTTGAGTAGTTGTGACAGAGACTATGTGGCCAAAAAATCCTAAAATATTTACCATCCGATCCTTTATAGAAACATTTACCAACCCCTGCAGCAGAATGTAGGAGCCTTCACTGTTTTCTGACATTCACCTCCCAGAGGAAGTGTTTGCATTGTCAGTGTTTGAATTCGAAAACTAAGCAATGCAGGAAACTATAATGATGCACATAATCTATGTAAAACCTCTGGAGACACTCGGCCCAGGTCTGCTGTACTTTTGAGTCCTCTGAGAAAACATATGAGATGCTCTTCATTACGCGACTCTAAGACCTTCTTTGTACTCAGTGAACACAAATCTCTCTTTTGCTTGTGAGGATATACAACTTCCATACTCTTATCAGTATATTTTTGTACTTCCACATCTCTATCGGTATATTTTTTAAAAACATTTTCTCATGTATCTGCACTCAAGGTGGGAGAAATATCATATTTGGCATCAGAGAAATCTGATTTTAAATCCTGATTTTGTTATTACCCATATCACCTAACTTCTGGGAGGCTCAGTTTCTTCATCTGTTAAATGGGAAAATAATAACAATTCTGCTTTTAGGTTGTTATAAAGACCAATGGAGAACACAAATGTGCATATTCCCAAGTGGCACAGGAATGTTAATTGCCATTCTTCCCACTGACAGGCATCTTTCCCTCCGGGGTGGCTAATGCATTTGAAGTACGTGTGCTGCAAACATTGGCCAAAGGGGTGCCACCGGGCAGAGGAGCCACACATGTCTCTCACCCTTCCAGCAGCTTCTGGGCAGTTAGGGCGTTTGCACCGGGGTTCAGGGACAGTATTGCCAGAGCTTTGAGGAACCCTGTAGGAGCATGGCTGAGTTACAGTGAACCACAGAGTAGTTCTGGTCACAGGGGGCCTGCTGTCCTAGAAGAGAAGAGTATGCTTAGTATAATTAATTGTAGGTTTAAATTTTGAGGCCAGAAATGTGTGCTTGAAAATATTGTTGGTGCAGAAAGCAGAATCATGTTCTCCATCTTTCTGTTAAAACACTCTCTCTGTTGGAGTTGAGCAGGGGGCTCTGGCTGTTGTCACTGCAGTGTTGACATGCATGGTCCAGAGCAGGGAACAATTTGCAGTTCTTTTGTCCTTGACTTTAGAATGAACAGTGTAAGTGTTTTACCCTTAATCTTTAATCACAGATGAGTATATTCGGAGTGATTTGGCCCCAAAAAGTGGTCGGGGGTACTAAGTTTTGAGTTAAGCATTTTCACTAGGAATTCTACATCTAGGAAATTGGGGTTGACAGTAAAAGTTTTATTGCCTTTAAGACAAGAATCCATCTCCCTAACTTTGTGTTTGAATGTAAAAATTTCCTTTTCCAGATGTGTCAACAGGGATCATCTACAGAAAGAGGATCGCAGTCTGTCAGAATGTGGTTCCAGAAATTTTGAGGAAGGTAAATTCATTTCAAAATTGAATCAGATTTGCTGTAACGTCGGGCAATCTTCAAACAGTCAGGGAAAGAGACAGCATTTTCTGATGTAGAAGAGTGTTAGAAGTTACCTACCTCATAGCCCTTCAGAGGGAGAAAGCTTCTTATATCCAACCTCAGCTTTGGCAGATGCCACCTGTCCCGCCAATGGGTTTCAGCCCCCAGCAAGTTCGCTATGGATTCAGTGTGACCAAAGAAAATGACATAAAACATTCTTGGGGTGGAAGGGTTTATTACCCGGCTTGTTCTCCTGGCGGTAGGTTGAACACTAGTGTCTCTGCCTCCGCCCAGAGAACTTACTGCCTACGGGTGTGGAAGCAGTGGCCTGGCAACAGGCCAGTTACATCTTCAAGTGGTTCGAGCTCAGTGAGGATCCCGGCCACAGGAACCCCAGCTTCTACACACCATCGGAGATAGTTTTTTTCCAGCCTGTTTCTGTCTCTCTCTGTTTTGTGGAGGACTCTTAGTGGACATAGGGATGGTCTGCAATTATTTTAACGATACCCTGGACATTTTCTAGTCTGTCCTGGTTAGATATGACTCTCAAGTAAGAATGATCAGAAATGGGACGATGGTAAATATAAAAAATACTGATTTGTAGTAAGGAGGATAGAACTACCAGTTTCTCTTTTTCTGACAGAGACAGCAGTTATTTCAGGGGGTATAATGTTCTCAGGGCTGTCTGTATGTCTTTTTGGTATGTTTCTGTAAACTAATGGTGTTGACGGTGCAGCCGTCATGATAGCAAATTGTTTTCTCACTTTGAAATCCTTAACCACGTTGGTGATTGTTGGAAAGAGGTAAGTGGGAATTTTTAATCACATTGCTTGCACCAGAGAGATGATTGACAAGAGTCCTTTTAGAATCATTAAGACATGAGAGTAGAACACGTTTTAAAAATGTCTCAGGTGGTTGTTTCACCCGGACACTATTCAGTGTGTGGCGTACAGCCCGGCTGGGCTCCCGCCAGTCAGCTTGCCAGTCATGTTGCTGTGCTTCCTCTGTGTCACTTCCTTATCATGGATTAAAACTCTGTCAAATTTTTAGTGGAAAGAAAGCTGATACAATAATGAAAATGAACTTTCTTTTATTGTCCAGACGGTAAACGTGTCGCATCGCATGTGGCAAGTTATTACTGCTTTTTCCACAGAATGTGTACCTTGCCTTTGCTCTGTGTACATGCTCTGAATCTGTGATTTAAAGAGGCATTCAACTTTATCTCGTGTCTCAGTTCTTGAATAATATCAGGATATCTTTGACTTGTACAATTCTGCCTTTGTACTTTTCCAGGTCTCCTTTGCCTAGGAAAGCATACATTTCTAGGTATTGGATAGAGTTTAAAATGTAGAAAATATTTTATTGGATATTGTCCTGCATGTGAGCCCGTAAGTGGGACCAGTTAAAATTCATCAATTTAAGAAGGCGGTGACCAGCCCTAGAGGAGACAGGAAGGAGGCTGATAATTTGCTTAGAGTGTTTAGCAGTTAGAGAAATCAGGCCAGGGACTGTACAGCCTGCATAAATCCTGGGCCATTTGCACGTCCTTAATAGTATTTAGTAAGGTCAGAGTATGTTTGATTATCGAGGACTTACAGCCATTGGTGGTGAGCCATCAATTGTGTATCAGGGTTACTTGCCCTCTTTATCCAGACTGAAGCAGCTCTGGATGCAGTCTGTGTGTAGCCTGCTCTTCCTAAATTGAGAAAGCCATCCTCTCTCTGTTGGACAGGTGAGCATTTTAAAGGTACCTAGTATCCAGTTAGAAGAGGAATCCTGGCTTGATCCCCAGGAAAGGAACATGGCTATACGGAGTCACTGCCTTACGTGGACACAATATGCATCCATGAAGGAAGAGTCTGTCTTCCGGGAAAGTGTGGAAAACCCGAATTGGTAAGATCACCTCTGAATGAGCACGTGTGTGTGTGTGTGTGTGTGTGTACGTTGGGTAAAGGGGTGCATAAATGAGCACATATAAGAAGCTATGATTTCATACTTAGGTTCTGTTTTTATACCTCACATAAATTACATGTTAATTAATTTTTAATCACAGAAATAATTAATGAGTAGCTTTCCCTTTGGGGAGAAAATGACAGAGCTCTACTCTTTTTTGACCACCTCGCCCAGTCCTGGTGACTTTTTTTCCTCTCCTGTGGCAATGAGTGTCAGCAGTATTCTGTGTGGTCCAGAATCCAGAGCTTTAAGAGGCACCTTTAGGTAAACACATGTGTACCCACAGAGGCTCTGTAGATACTATGGTTTTGTGTATCTTTAACATACATGCTTTCATTCCATATAAATCGTGCATTTTCTTTGCCTAATAGAATGTTTCTAATCTTTATCCACTCGATATATGTAAAATCTAGCTATCTAGCTATTCCTTTGAACTGTTGCATAATATTCAATCCTCTGATTCTGTTTAGCTTTTTCTTTTTTGACAGACATTCAGACAGTTTCTAGTTTCTCCCTTACAAAAGTAATTCAGTAGTTGTGAAGCATATGCTCCTTGTTTATGCTATATGTGAATGTTGCTTTACAAGAGCAATTTTAATTGCCAGATTTACTGAGTATTTTATATATGATGCAATGTATTCTATTAGCGTACAGTTCTGTAAGTTTTGACAAAGACATATGCAGCTGTGTAACTCCTGCCACACTCAAGTTATGCAATGTTTAAGGTAGATTTTAAAAAGCTAGCTATATGCTAAGATAATTCAATGGGGAAAGAATATTCTTTTCAACACATGTTGCTGGCCTACTGGATATCCACAAATAAAAGAATGAAGTTGGACCTTTACCTCACACCAAGTACAAAATTAACTCAAAATGCAGCAAAGAACCTAAATGACAGAGTTAAGACTATTAAACTCTTAGGAGAAAACATAGGTGTAAAGCTTTGTGATCTTGAATTAGGTGGTAGTTTCTTAGATAAGATACCAAAAGCAACAAAAGAAAAAATTAGGCAAAACTGACTTCATCAAATTAAAAAATTTTTGTAATTCTAAGGATACTGTCCAGGGAGGTGGAAGACACTCCAGAGAATGGGAGAAAATATTGCAAACCATATATCTGATAAGAGCCTAGTATCCAGAACTCAGGAATGGACAACCCAGTTCAAAAAATAGGGGAAAGATTTGACTTGGTATTTCTCCAAAAAGATATACAGATGGCAGTAAATGCTTGAGGAGATGCTGAACATCATTGGTCATTAGGGAAATGCCAATCAAAAGCACAATAAGATACTGCTTCGTACTGTAAGGATGGCTGTGATATAAAGGACATACAGCAAGTGCTGGAGAGGATGTGGAGAAATTGGAGCCCTCACACACTGCTGGTGGGAATGTGAATGGCTCAGCTGCTATGGAGAAGAGTGTTCTCAGTGTCTCAAAAGGTTAAACATGGGGTGACCACTTGACCCACCAATTCCACACTGTATTGAAAACATATGTCCACACAAAAACTTGTACAGGAATGTTCATAGCACCATTATTCATGATAGGCAGAATTCAGAGACAAGCCAAAAGTCCACCAACTGATTAATGTATGACCAAAGGTGGTATGTCCACGCAGTGGAATATTATTCAGCCACGAAAAGGAATGGAGTAATGATTCATGTAACAACATGGATGAAGCTTGAAAACATTATGCTAAGTGACATAAGCCAGTCACAAAAGGCTACATATTGAATCAGTTTATTTGAAATGTCCAGAATAGGCAAGTCCATAGGGACACAAAGTAGATTAGTGGTTTCCATAGGGAAGGAAAAAGAGAGAGTGGGGAGTGACTGCCAGCCGGTATGGAGTTTAATTTTTTCTGGCTGAAATATTCTGGAGCTAGTTTTGATGGTTGTACAACTGTGACTATATTAAAACTGCTGAATTGTAAACCTTAAAAGGGTAAATTTTACAGTATGTCAATTATATCTTAAAGTTATATGGCTGGTTCTCAGGATGTGCATATTTTCAGTTTATGCAAATTCTCCCAAATTGTTTTCCAATGTGTTAGTACATTAATTTGTACTCTCGTCAACCGCACATGAGAGTTTATTTCCCTACAACATTTTATGCTTTATTGCCAGTGTAATGGGTGAATAACAATTCATTTTGAGTAACAAAAGCAAAATATAATAAGAACCAAATATTAATAGTGATTATTTCCATGAACTATGATTTTGGAGGACAATTTTACTGTGTTTTTTGGCATTCTTCTGTGTGGTTTGTATTTTTTTATTCACCTATCATTTTATTGGAAATAGTAAGGCCCTCAAACCCAAATAGATAAAAACCAAAAATCTAAAATCCATTCTGAGGCCCCATCCATCACTTGTATGGATCAGTCTTTTGTTGGTCCCTGTAATTTTGGTCCTCTGGTGATAGTTCTAGAACGCTCTGGCAGCACACAGAATGAGTGTGAATGCCGAGGCTTATTGGCATCAGACGTAGGTTTGCTGTGGCCCACCCGTCAGTTTTTGTCCTTAGTCCCCTTCATGACAGGAGCTTCTCATAGAATGTAGACATTTGGAGGTGAGTGTAAAAGTTGTGGCCAGAGAGCTTTTCTTTTTTCTTTTGGTTCATAAAAATAATGAAAGGACAGAATAGTCTGATTTTATGCAGAAAGCGCAGAAGTCTTTCATTTCATCTACTTCATTTTAGCCTCAGTGTCCTCAGGTACCTGGGCTCTCGGCTAGTCTGGAAAGCAGAACTGAACCTTCCTTAGTGTTCCATGAAATGATCACTGCCTCTCAGATTCCAGGGAAAACATCCTTCAGGAACTTTACCCTTTGTATTAAAAAAAATTTTTTTAAATAATCACTCTGATTTTGGAAAAAAATGATCCATGTGTCTTATAAAAAATATTAAATAGTTCTGGGAAAAAAAAAGACACAGTTTTCACCACCTCACGGTAGTGTCAGTGTACATACATTTCTCGGTCCATTCCTAACTGGCATTTAGATTGTTTCTGAACATTTTGCTATTACAAACAATGTTGTGGTGAAATCCCTATGATTACATTATTTCCCCACTTAGTCAATGTTTTTTAAAGTAGATGAAGCAAGGTGGGATTTCTGGATCAAAGATTATATGTATTTCATATTTTGATACATATTCCCAGGCTCCACTATAGAAAGGTTTGACCAATTACACTTTTTTTTCTTTCTTTGGTTTGTTATGTGCTTGTCCTTTCCAAAACACTCTCTTCTAGATTGACACAGCAGGCCAGTGTTTATTGACATTTTTATGTCAAGGTCAAAGCTGGATTCTTCACCTGCAGTGTCTGAAGCTCAGGTTAAATCACTCACCCAAAGTGATATAGTCAGTAAGTTGCCGAGCCCGAGATGTGAATGCAGGAACCACGGACTCCACCTTCAGCCAAGTGGTGAGGTAGGAATGTGACGTTTATAAAGGGTGGATTTATCGCAAATTGTAGACTGCTTTGGACCTCAGGTTATGGGAACGGGTTGGTCCGGCAGCCGCGTGAAGGTTCCTGAGCAGAGGATGATGTAATGAGAGCCATGATCCAGATTCTAGGAAACTTACGTTTTCTTAGCTCTTGACATGGATTTACAAAGTGTTTCAGGCAGGCATTCTACATGAGTGGGTAATCTTGAGGTGCCATCAAAGAAAGACACCGTTATTACTTTCATTTCCTTCCTTTGCCAGGGAGTGTGAGGGTAGTGGCCTCCCACTGCACCCACAAGAGGAAATACGGACAGGTTTCTTTTTTGCAAAGAAAAAGCTGTCTTGGCCGCTGAGTCTAAAGACCTTCAAGCTGTGTGTTGGTTAGCAGGTGTGGGTGTGCGACGGGAAACCAGATGTCATTCTGTCCCTCTGCGTGGCCTGTGGTCAGTTCAGAAGGGCTTGGGGTGGGCTTCCTGTAGCATCTGACAACAGCCTTGCTCTGTGTCTCTTCGTAGACCCAGTTTTAGCTTCCTGCTGCCGTCTCTGCAGGTGACAGAAGCCCTGACTCAGATGGTACCAGACATCACTTATGTGTGTTTGCTGTGTGCCAGGCACTGTTTAAAGTGTTTGGTGTGTGTGTGTGTGTAAATTCATTTAATCCTCACAGCAGCCTTGTGAGGCTGGAACTTCTGTTAACCCCATTTTCCAAACGAAGGCTTAGAGGAGTAACTTGTACAAGGTGAGATGGCCGGTGAGTGTCAGAGGCGGATCCCGGCACAGGCAGTTTGCCTCTAGAACCCAGGTCGTTGGTGTGACCCTGCCCTCTGGTCGGCGAGGACCTGGACTGTCTCTGGCCCAGCAGGCTGTGGGGTCCACAGTGGCTGCGCTCCCGGCACCGCCTGTCCCTGTGTACCCAGTATTCCTTCAAGTTGGGCTCCCTCATGGCTGCCTGTAGCCGCTGGAGTCAGTGTACCTCTTTGTCCATTTAGTGAGGGGAGAGACCTGTGAGAGCAGCAGAAACTGTGTCCCAGACATGGGGGGACAAGATCTTCGTCCTGTCCTGTCTGAGTTAACTTAGGTCAACTGCTCCCACCTGGACCAGTAGGAGTGATCAGAGGGCTGATATGGGCTGACTGGCCCTGACCAGTCAGGACCTGCCCCTGGTCCTAGAGTTGGGGGTGGGGTCAGCTCCCCCTGAAACACATGGGCTGCATGGGGGAGTGGTGGGCCCCTGAACAAAAATAGTCGGGGCATAGGAGGAAGGGGGCACCGCGGACCTCTGTTCCTCCCCACCGTGATTTGGACGTAGCAGAAGCTTCTCAGGATGTCTGTGTCCCAGAGATGGACCGCTCAACAGGCAGGAGCCGGGAACCAGGAAGCCAACAGGAGCTAAGGCAGCCTCAGTCTCTCTCTTTCCCTATGTGGCTCATTTGTCCGACCGTCTATGGATCTCCTTTATTCACACAGCCAGCGGGCTGTCCCGGGCCTGTGCGA